CGTTCGGCCATACCTGTATTCTAGAGAATAGGGTGAACCTTCCCATCCATAACTTCTACTGGTTTGAACAGTTGGGTTCAGATACCTCCCTACACCAGAGCATCACCATAATAAAGCACTTCGTTTAAATGTAAGCTTCTTTTGCCTGGTGATACCATGGCGTTTTCCTCTTCCAGCTCACCCGTGGATTACTTCCCTTGCAATAACACAACCTTTATCTACTTGGCGCTACTATACTACGGATACCTTATCCACCTCGCCAAGGTGAGCTGCCGATGAGCTTATACGTTTTATATACCATAGGCTGTGCTCTTTATCAGAATTTTGCTTTGGCCATTCCGAAGACTACAGTAAGCCACTTGATCGGTGTTTTACACTGGCCTGAGCATGTGACATCAACACCTTTTTACGTGTGCAACTGCTCAGAAAATCCTTTATCCCGCAAGTGTTCAACTTCCCTGCGGCGGTTCTTCTTCTTGGACCTGTTTGTTAACACCACTCTGCCCTTGGGTTAGCGGCCTGGACGATTATACTATATTTGGAAAATCCGACCCTCATTACTCTGAGGTTCCTGCTGATCTACAAAATTGCTTCTTACTCTACCTAGCCCTATTTTCGTCCAGCACCGTCGGTGCCTACTATAAATGGTGTATCCTGAATAAGTCGCGCACAGCCGATAAAAAACGATGCACCTTGACTGCGCTTTGCCATGCGCAAAACCGATCGTGACGGGGCGTTGCCAATGGCGCATTGCTATTCCACTTATGGTCAACGACAGTGTATTGGGACGTGGCAGGTTTTCACCTTTCAAACGTTCTTCTCATAAAAAGCTACGCATCTGATGAATAACACCGCGCCGTGGCGGATGCGACTGGCTCCAAAATGAAGTAACTGCCTAACCCTGACAATATCTTGATGACTGAAATTGTGGACAAAATGGCATATGAACCAAACCTCACATTTTCGTCGAACAGTGATAATCAACTATTCTATCTGGTTCAAACGCATATGGACTAACAGAGATCAGTCTCCTGAACTATTCAAAAGCACACCCAGCATTTCTGTAAAGGAAACAAAGCTTTTCCATCACTTCTGCTCTACACTATCTAATTCCAAGGACCATGTCCATTATCCTTGCGACTTTCTTGTATGACAACTACTACCATTTATACAACCGTGTATTTTCATGCACCTTTCTATGTCGTATGGTGTATATGCACTCAGTTTGGTGCTGTGGCTCTGACCATCACTTAATCATGCCTGTAGTAGTGTGTCTCGTTTCATCGATAAAAAACTATTTAGTTAGTTAGTTATAACTAATGCGGATTGACACTATTGACAGCGGTGATAAGTACGCTCATGCACTGCTTGCGGAAGGAGAGGCAGGATAATCGCTGCTGCGGTGCACGGTTCAGAAGGTGGTAACTACACGGAGGCGTTATACCTCCCAAGCGTTTGCAGCCTCTCCCGTATCAAGGTGTACGCGCGATCCAGCGCCGCGGTAAACAGGCTATAAAGGAAGGAATTGTAAGTGGGTTAATTCTGCATACCCTTGTTCTCGTTTCCAAAACGGTGGGTTGTGACGCAGCCGAATAAACGCACCTCACACGAAAGGAGTGTCACACAGGACCAGATACATGGTAGCCAGGTTTGCTGCGGGTAAATATAACCTTCAGTGATACCTGCCGCAACCGTTCCCACCACCCAGTCGAATAACATCCATCAGGTTGTTTGGAACAATTTAGGTATGAAGTTCCGCAACAGAATGCTGTCTGCTGAACCCGTTTCCGCAAGTTGAGTAACCCTGAGGGACACATCGCTTAGCAATTGTAAAGACAGTACAACACCGCGGCTTTCGATAAGCCCAGGTCATCGTACGCGCCTGCGCCATTTATTTACTCATCACACATGTATGTACGGGTTTCGTGCATGGAAGCATTTGCTTTTATTGCTTCCCAAGCTTGCCGGTAGGTGTGGACCGTCTTAATCGGCTGCAAGGTATAGGAAAAGGAATACGCCAGGCCGGTAACATCCACCAGCATACCGTGCCACAATAAATAGCCGCCTTAATTCGCTTGGTGCGTGGCGCCCTCTAAATAAGCCCGCAATACCGCTCCGCAATGGCTTCCATTACAGTTGGCAGGAAGAACAAATACCCCACCACCTTGCCCATTTCCACCACCTGACAGGTATCATGCCGCTACAAAGCTTCCTTCACGCTACCCGCTTCCCCCTTTTCCCCCGCCGGGGCCGACGTCTCTGCAACTTCGGACCATCCGCGTTCTGCGTGCAATATGTGACATCGTTATGTACCTAGGTAGTTACTGGCCACTTTTGAACAACGACATAAGGGAATAACCTCCTTCTCCGCCTCCATCAACTGGATGTATTAAGGATAAAGATCCGGCTTTCCAACCCAAAAATCTTGACAGTGAAACAAATGTAACGCACCTTGTTCCAAAAATTATCCTTCCAAGTACAAGAAAATGCGCCTGGCAATCCAGCATGTTGTAGATGAGCAGCATTTATTATACAGTGTGAAAGCCCAAGACACCGCTTCACACGAACGTTGCAACGCGTGCCGTGAACACAGCGACAGAGTAGGCACTGGTACGCGTGCTCCTCAGGCAATTGCTTCCCTGTGTGACGGTGTACTACTGCCGCGTCAAAGCGGTATTCGCGTAAAGAGACGCAGCTTTTGTAAACATATATAGCTTTACTTCGGAATCATCCACCATGCTGACAGTTGCAAACGTGACCCAAGTGAATTCGATTCCTGATTTTATCTACCTCAACAACTAAGAATAGCGTTGCCGTCACATACTTTACCACACAAAAGTTAAGTAAACTATTTCACGCCGACACCTCCATTTAGCCTAGTGTAGGTACCGAAGCCAAACCGATTCTAGGCAAGACACGGATGTGAGTCGCAGTCAGGTTCGCTACATTACCCCTGTACATTCAGCGATTTGATTACTATTGCAAATGTTGTGTACCGTTTCTACTGTTATCTTACATGGTCACTTATTTACACTTTACGTACCAGCCACAGCTGAGACTAATGTTGCAGGATAGTTGACAGGATCGTTTGACTGCGGGGTGATGCATTTGTGCCTATTTGATTTTTGAAACTTAATCAAGGCTTCATTGTTTATTCCGAAGCACCAGCGCTTTTACAACAAACCATTGTATTTCCTATAGTATTTATTCCAACTGAGTTGGTGTCGGACTAACTTGTTTGTCGAAGCTTAGCAGCAGCCGAATTTGTGATTACATAGTTGCTCATTTCTTGATACGAGTGAAGCAACGAGGCTTTGCAAAGAGGAAGTCATGTGTTACCAACTTATCCTACTTCTTGGATGAAGTAACACGTTGTCTTGATAACGGGATTTCAGCAGATGTTTGCTATCCTGACTTCAGCAAGGCCTTTGATTCCGTAAACCATCGTTTCCCACTAAGGAATTTTGCCTGGCTTGGAATTCATCCTTCATTGTTGACTTGGATCTCGGCAGTTCGTTTGGTAAATATCTATCACGTTAGAGTCAGTGATGCCATGTCAACTATAGGTGACGCACACAATGAAGTTCCCCAGGGCTCCGTTTTAAGTTCTCCGTTATTCCTCATAATTATAAATGACTTGGCACTTCTTGATGACCCCTGGTACACATTTGCCGATGACCTGAAAAGTGTTAGCAGGAGTAATAGGGACACGTTGTCTAAGGATCTCTGCACTGTAGCGGAGTGATCAGGCTTAAGGGGTTAACCACCTAACGCCAGTAAATGCCAGCTGCTGACTTCCCGCAATGATGGGAGCACATTGCAGCCATCTACTGGACCACTGACAATGCAGCCAGTTGACAAAGCACGGGACCTAGGTGACAATATTACGAATAACTTCGAACTTTCAGCACATTGTCAGCATGCTGCCAACAAAGTTCAGCAGGAACCCTTCCACTGCACGAGGACCTTATGTAATACTAGATAGGAGGTATTCCTCCCATTATATATATTAGAATACTGTGTCCAAGCGTGGGCGCCGTAGTTTTGGAAGGATGATATTTTTATAGTGATGGTACAGAACCTGATGAGTAGAGTGATTATGCCTCAAAATGAAAAGCCTTATAAAGTACGTTTAAAGAGCTTTGGATGGTTTTCCATGAAGAGGCGTAGAATGAGTGGTGATCTAATAGAGCTGTTTTGGACTGTAGCGCCTTGACGAATACTACACAAGAAATCCGTAGCACAATAAGACAGAAGACGGCTGGATATAAAGAATGTCTTGAGAAAATAGCGCTGTACGATAGCTGTGAAAATATAGCCTGAGGGCAGTGGGCGAAAGTGGTGAAACAAGGAGTTACACCACGACGGAGCGCAACAGCCGGGAACACGCGGGCAAGATGGCGGACCAAGTTCAGAAATGCAGTTCGGTATATATAGGCTTTGGATGAGTGCAAAGTAAAACAAAATGTGTACAAGTCTGGATGGTGATGCTTGATGGAGTAAAATGTCATTGTCACTACAGGACCCTGAAAGACCTCAGTGGCGTCAAGTTTACCGACCTGTTTGTGCCAGCTACCTCGGATCACCTGCGAGGTCATCACCTTACGTTCAGCTATCACAGGTCTTGACTAGATAACACTGGGAAATACTTCGAGAACCGCGTTGTCGGCAGCTGGGACAAACTTCCCTCTTTGTTGCTTAGCTGTACAACGCAAAGTCGTCTTCAAGCGAGGTTTAGGCACATGTTGATTAGAATATTTTCCAGAACTATTGTAAACTTATTGATACTCTTTTCAGTAAACTTATGAAGGTTGAACTACATGCTTGCTTCTTTTTGCTTTATTTTCTTTGCAGAAGCACGAAATGTAATTGCAAGTAAAAGTACCGAGGCCTTTGCTTGCTTGCCGGTACAACAAGAAGGACGCTCGTTAAGTGGAAGCCTATACCTGAGAACCTGACCTAACCTGACCTGGCTCGTTTAATTTTACTAAGTCAAGGTCATTGCCAATAGTCCTCTGACAGGAACGCAATTAAATCATCCAAACATGCCTCCCAAAAAGAAAGGAACAAAGGACAGATTTGCAAATATGACAGAGGAAGAAAAAGCGGCATATTTAGAGCAACAGCGCTTAGCTGAGGAGGAATCCAAGGCTAAGAAGGCCACCATGCTTTCAAAATATTTACAGGTAAACAGAGCCAAATAAACGTTATCAGTGCATAGGATAAATTAGAGAAAGAAGAACGAATGAGCAAACTAAATAATTTCAAGTTGCTTCATCATTGGCGCATTATTATGCGCGATGCCAAATCAAAAGAGCTCAGGAATGATATACAAATTTTGTCACAAACATTCGAAAGGATTATAGATAGGTAAAAGTATAAGAATCTAAATTTGCTTTCAGAAAGGACAATATAATTAGAACGCTAATCAAGGATTTGAATGAGGCAGAAGAACAACATATGCTGTCCCTTCGATCGCACCTTGAGAATATCGATAATATGACCGGTAACCGAAACCTATTTTGCTTGAATATGTCCGTTAGCTTCTTATATTCCACTTAAACGCCTTGTGTTAATATAAGCTTGTTTTATACTTTCCGGGTGACTCGTTTGAACTATGCTATCAAAGGTACGAGGTTTGGTCTGGTCAGTTCAGTTCAGTTCAGTTCAGGTCCCAAGGTCGGTACAGGCTTCCGTATGACGAGTGTCCTGTTTCCTTCACGGCTAAGCGAACTAGAGCCACCAGTACTTCGACCGCCGCGGATTATGCAAAATAATTAGGCAAAAAAACGTGCTCTGTATTGTCTTGCAGTAGGAGGATCAACGACATGATGCAATAAAAGTACAATAATTCTGTAAAAAGTTCAGACCAACAGCCACCTGGATTTCTTTTAAGGGCCGCTATGATACTACATCTCATTAGATCTAGAAGCAGCTTGTTTCAGCTATTGACTACACCATTCACAAAATTTTAACTCTGATATCCGACCTAGATCTCTGATGCTTGAGCTTCAGTTGATGTCCTTGCAGGGGATCTGCCCCGGCTAGCTCATACAGTCCAGTATACTGTGTACCGCCGAAACCTTACATAATTTAAATGGCTCTATTAGGTCCCATCTTAACCTGAGCCCTTTCATTTAATACAGACTTAAGCCCCGTATACGTTCAGTGTATGTTTTTTCACCTTGGCCCTCAGTCATATTAGTCGCCAATTTTGTACTTCTATACAGGCATTGGCTTTCCGTATGTACGGTGTCCAAGCCTGTATACAATATTCTAAATAAGGTCTTAGCACTGCGTTGTAAAAAGAAAGAAAAATCTTAGTTTTACTTGTGCGTAAAGACCTTTTGAGGCGAACTAGCATATTTCGCACTTTATTTGCAGAATGCTCACACTGCCCTCAAGGTTTGAAATAGTTCGCCACAGGAATACTTATGTCCTATACTTCATCCGAGAATCGCAGGTCTAGTGGCGCGACAGACGTTAGCATCATCATCCCGTAATTGCTAAAAGTCAGCAACTGGCATTCGCCGGTGTTTAATGTAGATCCCATTTAACCGACCAATCCACTACTGGACGAAGGTCCTTAGACAACATGTCTCAATTACTCCTAATAAAGATCTTCAGCCTATCAGCAAAAATATAACAGGAGTAAGAGAGAAGAGAAGCCAAATCGTAGCTAAACGTGAGAAACAATTATGGTTCTAAGATGGAACCTAAGGGAACACCGCTGTGAACCTTGCCGACGCTTGTGCTAGCTTCCCCGACCCTAAAGCACAATTTCTATCTACCCATCCAGTTCTATATTTGAGGATGCAGCTCCAACCTTTATAGGTTTGTAAGGAATATTCATTGATAAACCAAGCCGATGGCCTTGCTAAAGTTAATATAACGGGTTACAACTGTTATTTCATCATTACGACAGTTGGGTATTCCATCTAAAAAAAATAAAAACGATTGGGAATGCATTAGTTCTTCTTTATAAAACCAGCCTCTTTTGCTTCAACTAAGTTGCGAGTAATAAAGTGCCCACAAATTAGTTTTGAATAGCACTTTCAAACATTTGGGTAAAAAGCAGGTTAGAATTACAGGCTTGTAGTTGACGGGCACACTTTTAGAACCACTTTTAGTTGTGGTTAAAAAATTTGCCTTCTTCCAGCCTTGTGGCAGCCTAGCTCCAAGTAGTAATATATTACGCACCTGCAAGACAGAGTATTGGAACATGTCAGTTAGCTGTTTAACAATGGCAGGATGCACATTGTCAGGTCCAACCGACTAAGATGGGTCCAAACTGGTCATCAACCCGAAGATCTCCGCTACAGTAAACGGAGTATTCAACACTATACAATTATTTTAACAAATCAAGTGTAAGTATAGGAAACCCGTCGTTCGTACGACTCGTTTTAAAATACTTGTAGAGTCCCCTTAAATTTGATTACTTCTCCTGAGGTGTGACTACCATTAATGATCGTTAACTTACCCACAATTCGCCTCAAAGCTGGTATTGACTAAACATAACTATAATACGACCTCGGTTTTGCATTTAGAATTTGAGCCAGTCTGACTTCATAGCGATAGTTTGCTTGCCACTTAATTTTCTTTGTTGTATTGAGATATTTCTCGTGACACAATCCGCCTGGTTCTTGAAACCTCCTCCAGTTCACTGGACCATTGGGTAGTGGAAACAGAAGTACATCCTCTGTCAATCCCATCCCTTGCTGGTTATTACGAAGAGGACCGCTACCGCTACATAGGTTGTTACAATATGCTGGCATACCCGGAGGTTGGGAATTCAACAGTTCTTGGAATGATACCTCTCCTGACGGGCTCCAGTGATCAGTTCCAACCATCTACTACTAGAGTAGTTTGAGCCATATTGGACCCCACATATTGCTTCAGGTGGTTGTTAAATTTTCAACCGTGACCGAAGGTTGAAATCAACTTGGAGATGCACCAACCCTGGAATTCATTCCCCAGCGGTCCACTTGAATACGCTGCATAAACATCAAGGCTCTACATTGAGGATGGTAGTCCGAGGCAAACAGATTCAGTTGACGTCGGTGAGGATAAAAGAAGTCCCGCAACTCGGAAACTGAGTTCAGTTCATGCCAGTTAAACTTCTCATTTATGTAAAACTCATTGAGCTCATTGGTTTATGGAAAGCATCTAGGAAACACTTGTCAGCTCCATCGACGCAGCATCACTATGAGTTGGATGCGTATCGCTGCTTTACAACGTTCCTCCGTGGTTCGTCGCAGCTGCAGTGATGGCAGCAAGATTTCAGCCTTCTCAGCAAACGGTTGTCTAGCAACCGCCAATAACTTTCTCTGGATGGCAATCACAAACTTTCACCCGGTAGGCCGTTCCTATCAGTTACTGGTCTAGTAGACAGGGTGAAATCTAAGTAACTTCGGTGCGTTTTTCATTTAAGCAGCTTCCATGATAGACCTCGTGTGGTACAGTCGGCGTTGGACCGGAAGTACTGCTGTAACTCAGTGCTTAGTTCTTCTCGGCGGATGCGCCTAGGGTAGATGAGGTCACCACTGCAATGGCAAAACTCCAGGGAGCAAACTTTGTCTGCTAGAATCGAATTCTGTATTGCTGAGCACAAAGCCCCAGAACAGATTACAAAGCATGTCTCTGAACCATTCCCGGCAGAGAGCATTCAAATTTTAAAAGTAGTCAGATAGCTGGCAGGCAATATTTTAAAGTTGGACGGACATGGGATGTGAACAGAGGTTGAAATATTTCAGGAGTCATTCGAGCAAATGATTTTTCTAAGACACATACCAGTCTCCATCCAGTGGTTTCCTTCTGCAATTTGCCCTCCAAGTTTCTAGGGTAAGCAGACACAATAACCCTGAGATCTCTCTTGTGATTTGTAGTTCTGAGGTAAGCCAACTTGGTATGCGCCGTAAGTGTCAGTTATACTCATCGGGAGAACAGCGGTTTATCTTGCTTTGCTGGCAGTTGACAGCTGATAGACCATTCGTGTAGCTGGTCTAAGAGAATGGGTGGTATGCAGTCAAGATTCGACAACCACACGCACATTTACTACTAAATACTGCACAGTGCCATCAAGAATAGATAACCATGTGAACCTGCATGTAAAAGCCCTCAAATTCAATGACCTATTACGTTGTCGAGTTTACCCAATACTTCATGTCGTCAAAGTGTTTGTCTATAAATTTCAAGAGTTACGACGCCAACTTTGCTTCGACTACGCGCAATGGCAAGTTGCTTCATATATTCATTAGCCCTGCTTGAAGCAGCGTTAGTCAGCGATCCGCTTTAAATCCGGTACTACTTATGAATGGAAGGATGTTGGTGAGTACTTTGTTCGTCGCAATCAGCCGACAATTCAGATATGTCGACTAGCTGTCCGGAAAAGCACCAGGCGGCCGTTTCGCCCTACTGGGGCTTATCAGTGGTGCGCATCCTTCGGTCCTCTGCGGAGGATCGAACCCATGACTGCTAGTGGCTCTTGCCAACTAGCCCGCAGCTTATGCAACTGCGCAACGGAGGACGGTATCTGACTATCGTGAATTGTTCGCTAAATGCGATATAGCCCGACGCATCCTCCACTGCCATGCAGGCACCTGCCATGCAGATGACAGCGGTCGACCTTCCGGCGTCAGGACTTCCCGGTTACGACGGCTATGAATCGACATAGCAGTTTGTGGAATCTGTACGGGCGACATATCGGAATAGTCGGCTGATTGCGACGAACAAAAGTACTCACCAAAATCCTTCCATTCATAAGTAATACCAATTCGCCAGTACGGATTCCACAAAATGCTATGTCGATTCATAGCTGCCGTAACCGGGAAGTCCTGACGCCGGAAGGCCGACCGCTGTCATCTGCATGGCAGGTGCCTGCATGGCAGTGGAGGATGCGTCGGGCTATATCGCATTTAGCGAACAATTCACGATAGTCAGATACCGTCCTCCGTGGCGCAGTTGCATAAGCTGAGGACTAGTTGGCAAGAGCCACTAGCAGTCATGGGTGCGATCCTCCGCAGAGGACCGAAGGATGCGCACCACTGATAAGCCCCAATAGGGCGAAACGGCCGCCTGGTGCTTTTCCGGACAGCTGGTCGACATATCTGAATTGTCGGCTGATTGCGCCGAACAAAAGTAAATCCGGTACTGCAAGTCTGTATAGGTGTCCTCGCGTGCTGCTTGGTTCGCGCATATTCAGCAGCGTCCTCAAAATGGGGTACGCACCAAGATGTAATATCCTTAGCGTCAGGACGAGGTCAACCTGCACCTGACGATAAGACGGGGTATAAACTCTTTACCTCTTGCACCGGCCTCTGTAGGGCACAACTCGTAAAGTGAGGGTGCGTCTGGCGGCCACATTCTGTAATCCTTTCATCTTTTCCCGGAGTGAAAAGACTGTATGCGCGACCACGCCGACCGCTCATTTGACCTTACAACCGCTACGCTCGCCTGACCGATGTGCGCTGCTCTCAAAATTGGAAAAGTACAGAACGCTAACCAACC